ATAGAACAACCACAGGCATTGTTGTTGGCGAGCATAACTAGAGCCATTATTTTGCTATTCAAAGTAATTGACATGTGCACGCCCTGGTCATTAGAAACACGCCCAAGATCTAAAATCCTAGCTGAGACCCTGCTTAGGGACCAGTCATTATTTATGGCGGGGGGTGGCACCGAAGAGAAAAGGGTTGGGTAAACAAAATTTTGAGTAAGTAAAGGGTTGGGTAAATGAAAAACAAAACAACTCAAGAGTTGGGTAATAAAAATTTATTGTCATATCCAAAGCATGACTCACTGAAATATTGGAGACTAAAAAGCAATGTCAACAGTAGCCAGTCATATGTCAATACAATTTGTGAATCAATCAGAGTCACAATCTTGATCATTTTCCAATTTGCGGGGAGACAAATGCATGGTATCTCCCAAAGAAAGTACATGTGCAGACAATATTAAACTTTAGACTGCAGAAAATTTCACAATACGTTATCAAACTCATGTCACAGAAGTCGTAAAGGACATATGTGACAACTGAACGGTATCCTTTTGTAAAGTATTTGGCCAGGGGTGGGTATTTATTTTTTAATTCATATTTGAGGTTGGGTAATCAAATTCTTGACTTTTTAATGGTTGGGTCAGCAAAATTTTTGCAACGAAAAACATTTCTCTTCGGTGCCACCCCCCACCATAAATAATGACCGCTCCCTTATTCAATCGAATGAAACCGTTTTATTGTCTCGGTAGCTATGATATTACATTAATTAACTATTAGTATTTTTGCACAAGTGAACATAGTAAGAAGCCAGCTTGGTTACTGTAGCCAAGTGTGGGCACCCCAAACCACCCATGACATTCAAACCCTGGAACGAGTTCAGCGTCGCAGCACGAAGTTTATTTTATCTCTTCCATTTCAAACAGATATTTCATATCCTAAAAGACTCGCTAAACTCAACATTCTTCCAATTACCTACTGGCATGAATACCTGGATCTTGTTTATCTATTCAAATGCATTTATGAAAATTCCGACAAAAATGTGAAACTAAATTCATCAAATCGTGTAACCAGATGCTCTAGTTCTACATCAGGACTCTTTCTTCAGATTACCAAATCAAAAACAGTAACCTTTCAAAACAGTTTTTATATCAGAGCATGCAGAACGTGGAACACTCTACCAATATCTTTAAGAAACTTAACTTTATTGCCTTCGTTTAAACGTTGTCTATTTAATTACTATTTTTTATTAACTTCTAATGTTTATAACCCAGAATTGCCGCACACATACAAGACTGTTTGTGTCAAATGTCACAAAGCCCGTCCTTTGGATTCACTCAGTGACACTTTGTGCTGCTAGTGCCCTTTCTTTATATTATGTGATGACTTTTTGTTGTTTTTTGTTGTGATGCACTATTTAGTGTTTAACTCTTTGTATACAATATTTCTATGTATTTTACAACTCACGCGGGGAACCCGTTATTGGAGCTTCGGCTTTGTGGGTGTGCCCTTCCTGTTTTTGGGTAAATTAAATAAATAAATAAACATAACAAATCCTACAAGGTGATTGGTCAAATTTGACGTATTAATCTGTTATATTCACCTACAGGTGAATATAACGAAATCGAAATTTTCAAAATGGCGGCTAGCCGTTTTGTTGAAGTTAGTGATAAAGAAATAAGCGAAATTAAAATGAATTCAGACCAGAAAAACACAAAAAAACTTGCAAAAATACTAAAACAATTATTCGCCTCAGGCTCGGTGATTATCGGGGAATATTCACCTCGACTTCGTCTCGGCAAATATTCCCCGATAATCACCTCGCCTTCGGCGAATAATTGTTAAATATACAACGAATTTAATTTTTGATATTAGTGATACTATCTGGTCTGGTCTACCTGAAACGTTTGACGACCCATGGCTTGATGAGATATTCTTCGATAATCACTAAAAACCCAACAACAAAAACGTTTATTAACAACAATTATATAATAACGTTAAGAATTCAAGCGCTTTCATTGGTCGAGAGCCATGATCTATTAGAGGATAGACGCACGGAATTACGTCACAATTAAGGTAGCCAATAGCATTCCCTTATTTGTATAGATCATGTACGCGTGTTATTTGTAAAATTTCGACTTTTTCAAATTTCCCAATGTTTGGGTGGATAACCGAAGGTCCATCGAAGGAAGAAATCAAGGTTAACAAAACACGTCAATCGCGCGACGGAAATATATCCCGAAAAACAACCCAGAAAGCCAAAACAAGATCGAGACGAAAGCAAGACCTGGACGATTTGTACGAATTGTGGAAATAAGGGAGTGTTCATTATTTATACCCTGGGTTGGTACCGAAGAGGAACTAATCGAAAAGAGAAAAAAACAACCAACCACCCTTTCGGTCAACCATTTCTTTCCCTACCCAACTATTGCATGACTTGGATTTTTATTTTACCCAACCCAATTTCAAAATTATATACAAGTATTTTACATACATACATATATATTATTTATACAAGCTAGGCACTATAGTATAAACAGTACTATGCATATTTGGTGCACTAACTGAATGTAAAATATAATCATTTGTACCTTCACAAGTTCATATTATGTTCCCAAGTTCCTGCAGTCCTACTATGTCTCGTTGTTGTAATCAGAGGGGATGGGGAGTTGGAGTTTAGTTTTCTTTGTGGGGAATGAATGGATATTTCCTGGAATGACCCATTTTGTTAAATAAAGAATTTTCATTATTTTGTTCTATTGAACATTTGTATTAAAAATAATTTACCCAACCATAGGCTTTGTTCAAAAAATATTTAGCCAACCCTTCATACCCCAGAAAAATGGCTTACCCAAACTACTATAAATAATGAACACTCCCTAAGCACCCGAAGCAAAGGTGCCCAGCGTTTGGTCGACTGAGTGCAACAAATGCAAGAAATTCAATGACTATGGAAAAATGTGTCGCTCAAGCGGAAAATTAGATGCAATCGAGACAAAAGATTCAAAACCTGAAGAAACCGGCAATGATTTTCTATTTCTCGACACAGTAACAGCCGCCGTAGACGAGACAAAAACACAAAGTCAGAATCAATTGATATTAGGTCTACTGATGTTTTGGATGCTCTCGGTTGGCAAACACTTGATGTGAAACGTTTAGAAAATAAATTAATGATGTACAAAATACTTAATAACCACACTGCCCCTAACCTAAACGAGTGTTTCTGCAAAAGAAACACAATCCAATCTAATTATATTTGCGTAGTAGCGATACAGATCTATGCTTACCTAAGCCTAACAGTGAATTTTTAAAGAAAACTTTTCGATATAGTGGTGCCATGCAATGGAATCATCTTTCTGAGGATTCAAAAAATTCTGAAACCCCTTCTTCTTTTAAAAGAAAAATACGTCAGGCATGAACACCTCCTTTGGATCGCACCAATTGTTAAGTTTTTATATAATTCCTTTTCTATTATCCTTTGCTTCCTTGTTTTTTCTATATAGTTTAACTTGTATATAGTTTAATGTGTATACTCTTTAATCTGTAAATAGTTATTGTGTGACGCCCCTCATGAAAAACATCTCATGTTGATCGAGGCTAGCGTGTTTAAATAAAGTTTTACCATACCATACCATACCATACCATACCATACCATGCCAATAATAATAATAATAATAATATACGAGCCTGTCGGTGAACAACACTGAAGTTAAGGTAAAATTGGACACTTGGGGCAGAAGTGAACGTTATTCCAATCAAAACTTACAAAGCCCTAGCTAGGGTTGGGCGATATTTCGATATTTTAATTTATCGCGATACTTTCAATCGCGATTATCGTATCGAAGGTAGAAACTTGAGCGACGATATATCGAAATTATCGTCATGCTCGATGACTATCGTGATATTGCTTGGCATGCATGTGTATATAGCTTTTATAAAATCCTAAATAAATTCTTTCAATTCACTAGAAAATATAGTTTTTAAAAGAATTAAAACTATTTCCTGAATTAAATACGAATTTAATACGATAAAATGAAATTAAATTGCAGGTGAACCAGCGGAGACACAGTAGACACTGCATAGACAGTTTAGGTTTATGAACAGTAAATATTAGACTACAAAAAGCCTTCTTATTACATTAATTTCTTGTTTCTAGTGGATTATATATAAGCTTACTATCCAGAATGATATTAATTAAAATTGAAAAATGTGGTCATTGTTTTTATTGCATTTATCGCGATATTATCGAATATCGTGATAATTTCCTTGACAATAATCGTGAGATGATTTTTTTAATATCGCCCAACCCTAGCCCTAGCGAGCACCACAAGAATACAGCTTAGAAAACTAACAGTTAATCTCGTTGCGTACAACGGCAAGACAGTCCCTGTGAAAGCTGTGTGTAACTTGCAGTGCAAGTATCAAGGAGAAGAGTATGATCTGGAGTTCTACACATCCGAATCACCCAGTGAGCTAGTACTCAGCATAGCAGCATGCAAAGAATTAAACCTCGTCAAATTTACCCAGGAATTGAAATCGTGAAAACCCTCTTCGCAAGACATGGGGTGCCAGAAGTCGTTAAATCCGATACTGGTCCACAGTATTCAGCCGAATTCGCCAAGACGTGGGGTTTTAAACACGTAACTTCGAGTCCTTTGTATCCACAGTCGAACGGCCTAGTGGAAAGAACTGTTCGAACAGCGAAGTCAATCGTAGCGAAAGCTCGAAGAGATTATCAGGATCCAAATTTAGCTATATTGGAACATCGAAATACGCCAATCAACGGCGTTGGATCACTATCGAGATTGAGTATTGGAAGAAGACTTTGGTCAAGTATGCCATCCTCAACTGATCAGCTCCTTCCAAAGACGGTGAATCCAGCAATAGTCCAGACGAGGCTCGAACAAAAGCAAACGCAACAGAAAAAGTACTATGACAGATCATCGAGACCCTTGGAACATTTATCTGAAGGCGATGTTATTTACATTCAGCGCGAGGGAAGATATGGAAACCTGCCATTATCACGAGCAAAGCGGAAACTCCAAGAAGTTTCAATATTATGACAGAAGACGGTGCCCAATATCGAAGAAACAGAATACATCTGAGGAAAGCTTATGATCGAGTTTCGCGGTCCTCATCTCCTGAGAAGTCAACCGAAGGTCCATCGAAATCAAGGTTAACTCACCGATCAGGAATGAACAATTACAACATCAAGAAACAAGAGAACAAAGAAACCCTTAGTTCTACCGGTGAAACAGCATCGCCAGTAAAAACAAGATTAGGACGGATGATAAGGAAGCCAACTCAGTATAAGGACTATGTCTAACATTTTTCATTAACTTAATATGAGTTTCCAAAGAACACTTACGATTAAGATACTATATTTATTAGTTTAATCTATACTACTTAGGCCTAAAAAAATACCTGTGCATGGTTCCGGTTCCCGACCGACCCTATTTTTTTCTGCCGACCTATTATTTTTTCAACGCGATTGACCGTGCGACCTTATTTTCTCCGTGTGGTTGCGGGCTGCTCATACAGCGTGCCAAAATGGCGTCTGTTGTCACACTAATTATTGAACCAAATTGCCTAAATTCGTCCGTAGGAAATACGCATCTCTAGTTAACATTGATGTTGGGACTCTACTGCAAATCGCCCAGCAAAAAAACCCGCCAAAACCATGAAAAAAATTATTCAAAAAAATATTTATTTCCGACCTACCGACCCTAATTTTTTCACGATATGAAACCGGAACCACAGGTATCTTTTTAGGCCTTAGAGATATACTTTTTTATATATGAAAAACTCGAACAAAAATAGTAAGGAGAACTTTATATTTACGAAATATGCTAGCTTTTAAAAGGAAGGTTGTAATATATTCATGATGTTATTCACTATAGTCATTATGCTAATCAGCGTATATAAACACTGGTCTGGAGTTTGTACATTTAGTTAGGACTATGATTCAAATATATAACATAACAACAACTAGATAAGATTTTGCCGTTGTCTGTTCAGTTATAGATATACAGTATGACATCATAATATGGAAAGAACAAAAAAGTGAGCCACTCGAACCTGCGATTCCAGTGCAGTGCCCTAGCTCAGCAACAGTTATTACAGGGTTCGTACACCTTCATACTTTAAAAAATCCAGGGTTTTCCAGGACTTTTTTCATCCTTTTTCCAGGGGTTTTCCAGGGGCATTTGTCACACTATTGCGTATGAGAGAAACGTATGAGAAGCGTATGAAAATTAATGAAATAATTTTCATACGCACAAAAATCTTTTGAAATGCCAGCGTATGAGTACCGTACATCTGGCGTACCTCTAGCGTATTCAGCGTGTGCCTAGAGTATGCTTATCGTATAAAGCATACGTCCAATACGCACAAAATTTTTGAACATGCTTAAAAAAATTTTATGCCTCGGCGTATGCCAGCATATGCGACCGTGCTTGAAACGTATATACAACCTATGCCTAACGTACCCCTAGCGTATGTCAGCGTATATCGGCGTATGAGTGATATTTTTCATACGCTGGCATACGCTAGTACGATACGCAATAGTGTGACAGGGCCTTAAGTCCCGCTATGCAAATATCAACTCATTATCACTATTCATTTCTTTAGAAATTTATTGTGTGGATAGTTTATAAACATGGCAATATTTGCATAGCGGGACTAGATCGTCGGGCTGGCTACGGCACTGAATGTAAGTGTTTAAACAATAAGAAACGTTCGCGACGACTAGACTTCACCTTGCATAGATATTTTTGGGTTTGTACCTATGCCCATGCAAGAAATGCTGCGACTATACATAATGCAAGAAACCTTGTTCAATCTTTCTTTTTAACATAGTGTTAAATAGTTTAAGTATGATCCCATACTCAGCTCAGTTTCGCAGTTTTTCCAGGGTTTTCCAGGGATAAATTTGAAATTCCAGGGTTTTCAAGGGTTTTTCAGGACTAAAATAAAAATCCAGGGTTTTCCAGGATTTCCAGGGGGCGTACGAACCCTGTTATTACTGGAAATAATTGGGAAACTCGTTCCAAAGATGACCTGAGCAAATTGAATTGGCTACCCCTAAATCAGTCACTCAAGACTGGTTGATATACGCTCTTGCTTATGCGCAAACTAGTTCCGACAACGACATCGGACCAGTTTCAAATTTCAGTAAATGATCAATACAACTTACGTAGTAATTGCACTATGCTGAAGCTGGCAAAACCAAGAAGCTAAAACATGGAATAAACTGCCAACTTAACTGTAAAATCTTACGATCTCTGATAGCGTATTCAAACACAACTTACGATCTCTGATAGAGTAACTATACAAACACTACCGTGTATAAAAGAATTTAAATAACAATAATAATACAGGAATATAAATGCACACATATTATAGTTTGCATAAAGCTAAGAAGTACTTACATTCAAATTCTAGTACAACTTCGAACTTTTCCAATTGCCACTTGTACAACGTTTTGGCAAAACTTGCCATCCTTCCTCCTTATATATGCTGTGGTCTCTGTATGGCCAGCGGGCTGTATACGTCACTAGGTCACATCAGTGACGTCAGTCACACATGCATCGAAACCTGAAATTTGAAAACAAAATTCTAGGTTAAAAATCAACACAAGGAAATAGGGATTAATCTCGCATTAAAATGTACAAACATTACTTGATATATTATTGCCTGATATATTATTCTAAGTTTTGAAGGATTTGTAAGAAATATTTGAGAGAACTGACTCACGCCTGTATTCTAAAAGCTCACTCATACTCGAAGAGTGGAGGTTCAATCTGAGCTTCCCTTGAGTGTCAATGCTGTTTTTGAATAGCTGGAGGGTTAGTGTCGTACCCTACTATGTGACTACTCACCCTCCAGCTATTCAAAAACAGCATTGACAGTAGAGGCGTCAGTGTTTACAACCGACCCCAAAATTTCTACACAACTAATTATTAGTGGATATAATATAAATGGGAGATGAATTTTGGCCATAAGGTTATGAAATTGGTCATGGTTTAACAAATGTTATGGTTGTTTTAAAATCAAGTGAGGTTCACCCACTGGACCTTTGGACCATTGAAACTATGCATCAGTTTTGTTAAGTGTCACCTAATAGATTTGATGACCTTTGGCTCTGCTAGACAACTTCAATAATCTTAAGCCTGGTTCACTAGCAATTTTGTCAGCGATTTTGTGTTTCTGACGGATGGAAATGAGTGAACTCGCACACAAAAGTATAGAGTCGCTTTTCAGAAGTGAACAATTCTAAGTCTTTTGCATCTCAATCATTCAATCACATTTGTCAGGAGAAAAATTGCCGACAGAATTTCCAGTGTGAAGCAGGCTTTAACACGCTCTGGGCCACCGGAAAGTAGTGATTTTTTCAAGCTTTGATTGAAGACATTAAACTCGTGTCCGTTGACTGATATAACCCAGATTTAAGTCATTTAACTTTAGTATATAAAAATTCGAGTTTCCTTTTATTAATTGTGGGATCCATATTCGCATAGTTGTATCACTTTTCAAACATTTGTATCTACAGTTGAAAAAAATCACTATCACGTACAACCGACCCTAGTCCAATCTCATACGTCACTTCGATGCCGCGCATGCGGATTACGACAAATAAACGAGTTGTTTTGTAGCACTGGGGCCGGTTGTATCAAGCCCGTGTAGCTTAAACGGTGGATAAGTCAAAATTAAATAACACTTTTTTCTCTCTCGTGAATCAGTCAACTTAAATATTCTGCACTGAATATGTAGTTGCAAACATTATCGTTCTATTAAGGTTCAAAACTTTTAGTTTGGTTGTTGAATATATCTATAGACTTGCTTTCTATTTTGAGCTTAACCACCGTTTAAGCTAAACGGGCTTGATACAACCGGCCCCTGATGACGTAGGTCACGCGCATACATTGTCACTTTTCGGGAAAGTACCGGAAATTAAATCTGAGATTTTCAGTAAACGAAATTTAATAGGCTAAAGCTTAGCACGAGCAAATAGGGAATCTCGCATTACAATTTACAAACATGTCTGGTCCGGTTTCCTCAAGCTTTCGTTGGTAAGAATGCAACTATACAATAAGGAAAATTCGATTTAATCTGATACTCCTAAATCAGCTTACACCATACTAGGAGATACTTATATATGTATATACATTAACAAAATAACTATGAACCATATATATGAAAAACGTTAAAAGGTAAAAATGTACAATAAAAGTGTCCTGCCAAAATTATACTGATACTCTTAATGCAGTTAGTGCAACACTTTTAAAAGCGTTGATATTCGCAGGCAGTTCGATAAAAGGGAGAATCTTCCAGGTTTTAATAGTTCTTGGGAAAAATGAAAATTTGAAAATATCATTGTTACAAGAAACTTGCTGAAAAGGATGATGATTTGGAAGTCGGGATTTTCTTTTTAGCCGAGGCCGAGAGCACACTTCAGGGGGGAGTTTAAATAACGCAGCCTTGGTGGATCTTGTAGAACATACACGACTCAGTTACGCCGTTCAAGTGTAGTGTTTTAGTTCAAGTGTAGTGTCTTCACCGTTCAAGTGTACAGTGTTTTTTTATTTTACTTATAATGTAAAATTGTGGTATGTCACTATAGTAAACCAGTAATATCTTGTAATTTAAACTACAGCGCAGAGTACAATAAAAATTCGTTGTCTTCCAGTTTCTACACCCATATTAGAGACTTTACGATTTTAGGACGGCAACGGCTACCAATACAATAGATCATTGAAAGGAATTGTGTAATTACAATATATGAATAATTTAGACATTGTCCTCACTCTGTTTACAACGCTAAATCACAGATTTTCACGTCTTGATACACCGGCTGCATTCCAAGCCACAACAAGTGCAACTTCAAACTGGATTTAGCAGAACTCTTCCCAACCATAAAACCCATGTCTTCAACTTCTAAGACTGTATTCAATTCATACGATTGATAATATATGACGAACTATCTTTACTACCATTTATTTGAAGGAGTTTGTTTTGGCCGTCGCCGTCCTAAAATCGTAAGGTCTCTAATGAACTGTCGAGTCAACGGGGATTGGTAGCAAGACTAGCAAGTCGAATCCGAATTTTTTCGCTAAAAATTTCCCTTGGAAACACTGCATTAAGTGTCTTTCCGAAAAGTGTATTACCTCGCTATATATTTTCTTATATGTCTTGCAAACTTTGAGATATAAGAAGTTATATAAACAAGGCAATTTTATATAACTTGCAACCCAGAGTCATGCAATGCTTCGCAGAATTCAATGAGCGCAACACAATTGCATACAAATTGTGTTTATATTCAATTTCAACCACAATCACGTCTCGGATGCATTATTCCATGACCGCCTTTACCACAGAAGTCTACTACGCATTATTATTTATTGAAAATAATTCAAGAGTTTTGATTGGCTAAGAGCTGTCGGTGAAATCGTCATACCCGCTCAGTAGCTGCCCAAATTTGGAGTTATGACATCACCGTGGAATATTGAAAACAAATAAAACGTGGAATATTGAAAATATGACGTCACGCTAATTGACGTGGAATATGACGTGACGCTAATTCATGTGGCTTATGCCAAAAGCGGGAAAATACAAATGGCTTCCTCAAAGGAAAGGTTCGCCGACCTTTTTTGTGTATTCCGACAAATAAATAATAAAACAATTATTGAATTTGGTTCTCGTAGGATATGAGGAATTATTAAAGCCTCGGTTCGTGTTTTGTGTTATCTATTATAACACAAACCTCGGTCTTAATAATTCCTCGACCTCATTCATTTCAATAATACTCAATAATTGTTTATTATTCCGCGTTGACGTCACAGTAACGTTTGTATTTATTAAAGTGCATATATGACATGAAATTTCTTATTTTCTTGAATGAAAGAACTCTTTAAGTTGTAGTGTTACTTATTTTTCAGTTTCTTGTTTTTATGGTTTGTTCCCGAGATGTTTCAATTTGTTTGATATGTAAATGAGTGTGAATATGTCTGCTAATTTATGACGTCAACTCATTCAACTGATTCTGATTCAACTGATTCTTGTTTTTTTGTCAACTTACACTGGTTATAAATGTATTAACTCTAAAAAATGTTGATATCAGTTCACGTTTTTCTCCAGTGTTTCATCACATTTACCAGTGAATGAAGTTTGAAATTATCGTTTGAAATTATCGTTTGAAATTATCGTTTGGATAATAGCAGTGATATTCAACCATTTTGAAGAGCTTGCAACCAACATGACGTCATAAATTAGCGGACATATTTACATTCATTTACTAATCAAACAAATTGAAATATCTCGGGAACAAACCATAAAAACAAGAAACTGAAAATAAGTTACACTACAACATAAAGTTCTTTCATTTAAGAAAATAAGGCCCGTTTCAAACGGCGTACTTCTCATGTGCCGAACTTAATTGATGAATTAGGTACGGCAGAAGAGCGACGTATGAATCAATTAAGTACGGCAGAATTTGGAGCGGCAAAAGTTCGACACAAGTTCGGCAGAGCTTGTCGCATTATGCGACGTTGGAGCGACGTTGATTCATACGCCGCTCCACTCATGTACTTTAGTCTAAAAATAAACTTATTTATTTTGAATTTTATTGAGGTTTCGCTGGCGAATGCGCCCTAACCTTGTCAATAACATAGTATTTGGTACGCCGTTTGAATCACTGCCGTTCTTGTGTCGCATCTAATACAATTAAGTTCGGCACATGAAGAGTACGCCGTCTGAAACGGGCCTAAGAAATTTCATGTCATATGCACTTTAAGAAAATAAATGAATAATTAAAGTCCCACGGAAGATTTAGACGCCGTCCACGATCTGTTTACAACGGGTAAACCAGAGTTTTTACGTCTTGTGTACAACGTTTGCATTTTAGTACGTAAGAAGTAGATACCCAGCAAATTGGTTCAGTACTATAATGTGGAATTCTGCTCAATAGAAAGCCTCTGTTTTGACCCCTTCAAGCTGTGTTACATGTAAATTCATACGGAGAGGACCACCAGACCCTCGTATTCTCCTCGCAAATCACATTGACATTTGCACAATCACGTGCTGGGGGTAATAGAACAGGAGGTAAAATTGAGCGAAAATATTCAAAAGAGATTACAGTGGGAGAACCTAATATACTTTGCTGCCTAAGTTAACTAGTATTAAATATATTGAGTATACATGTTTTGAAACAGTTTTTGTGGGTGGTTGGGTGAAACAAATCTTTGCCAGAATTTACAAGCCTCTAAATTCAAAATTTGGGGGGACACCCCCTACCTGTAGCCCCCATCCAGAATCGAGTTTGTCTGGCCCCACCCAACCACACCTTTATTCTGCCACCTATATACAAATCTATCATAATTTACAATGTTAACTATAAATTTACAACGTTAAATATAGATAAAAATCCTTTGACCCCCAGTCATGATGATGATGCTTCGTGATGATGCTTCGTGACATCCCTAATATGTGCAGTTCTAACCCTGGAAAATTTGAATGAATTTGTTTTGGCCGTCGTTGTCGCTTTGCCGTCCTACATTTTAAGGTCTCTATTAGGCCACAAACTTCGGATATCTAGGGATTCAACTACCTGTAAAATGCAAGTTAAACTTCAACATTTTGAGCAACCCCAAACACTAGTAAAAATAATTATGAATTAATGAATTATTCCCATAAATTCCTTTGTTACAATGTTTTCTCTGCTGTTTGCATTCTACAAATTTTCGGACTGTTCATAAAAACATTTGTTGCTGATTTATACTAAAAAGTGGGGGCACACTTAGTGCCTAGCAAAGGCGGGTGACTTTCAAGGGGGTCCGGGAGCATGTCCCCCAGAAAAATTTTGAAACTGGAGTCTCTGAAATGCCATTTTCTGCACTTTAAAAGGAGATTTACAGAGTCCTAAAGGTAAATGTCATAAAATATCTCAAATTGTTTTGTCTACATGAATAACTGAAATAACATCAATTAACTTTGTGGTTTATTATTGACCATTGTTAAAAAGTGGAGGGCTCCAAAGACATTTAGGCCCCCCAACTAAAAGTGCCCCCCCCCCACCCCTGAGTGGAGCAACAGCATATGAATCAATGTCACTCCAATGTCGTATTAAGGTCCAGACACACCGGACGCGATTCGACAACGTGGCGCGAATAAATAACACAAAATTTCAACTTCTTTGTGTTCTATAAATGAAATAAAATTGATGATTTCAACATCTCCTAAGAACAGTGTAGAACTGCTTATTTCGACAACAGACTGTGAGGTAGTGAACACAGGCTAACTTGTGGCAGTAGGAGGGTCCTGGGGCATGCTCCCCCAGACAATTGTGAATTTTAAAGTTCAGAATGGCATTTCTTGCATATTTTTCAGAGTGACATTTTGTTTTGTTTTTTTACTTAAATACCTGTATGTGCGCTTCATTTATAACTAATTTTCATATAAAGATCGAAAACTCAATTTTGGAACTGCCCATTTCAAGTTTTAGAATTACCCATTCTACATTCAGAACTAGCCATTTCGGAAAATGAGAGCATTGGGAGGCCCCTCAGGTAACTCCTCCAGGGCCTCGACGGCTCCACTATAGTACTATACGCTTTACTGAATGTCATGGCCCATGGGTCTTCTTAATTTAATAATGCCTACATAAAGGTAACACCATACAAAATACCTAACGACGCATGTAGCAGTCCTTTCGCCTATTTCTGAATTTATACAACATACCATGATTACACGTGTCTCCGACAACCATTCCTGGGATTACGCGATACGACCAAAAACGTATTTTTTCAGCAAGAGAAACTTCTGTTTTTCCATTCATTCTATACTTGGCCATTTAGCTCGGTTGTCTAGCTGTGTTTCAAGCTCAATTTTACCGATTAAGCCTTTTAGTAGCCAGCAAAATTTGAAAGTATCAGTGCTTTAAATTTTAGAACTCCATCAGACAGCCATCTTGTTTGTAGAATTTTTAAAAATTTTCCCGCCGTTGCAAAGAAATTGCTCACCCCCCGGAATTTAAGAGCATAAGACTACATACCCGGGGGAAGGCAGTAGAAATTTTTCTAATGTACTGCGGTGTATCTACTTGCGGATATCAGATCGATCATTTTACGGATAGGCGGATTGATTATATGGATTACGGATAGTCTAAAATCAGCTTTCGAAAGTCCAGAAAGAATAGTCAATCAAGGAATTACCCAGTTGTCAAGGTCAGTTGGCCCAGTTTAATGTAACTAGCGCACGCTGACACACACAAAATTACACGGCAGTTTATACTTTCAGTATTAATTAAGTAAAGTTTGAACTAACAAAGTGTACAATTGTTAACAGCAAGGTTACAGCTTCTAACAATATATAACTATGTTATTTGAATAATTTTTTTCCATTTCGAAAGTATCATAAGTCTGTCTGATAATATCTTTGAAGTATAAACAAAATAGATTCCAAATTAGTTTACTGACTAGACCGTCTATAAATATCGAACATCACAACAAAATGGGTACGAAAAAGTTCCTCTATCTTTATTGGTTAGCGTATTTAATTTTTTAATTTACAAATTAACTAAATAAACTATAATCTATATGGCAGGGTATTCGCAAGAGCGATATACATCTATATGTATATATCTATAATCGTATAGATGTATAATCTATATGGCAGGGTATTCGCAAGACAGCAAGATATTCAGTGGCAGCGCCAAGAGGGGGGGGGGGGAAATGCCCCCCAATTATTTTCTGCCTCCCCATTTCGTCCCCCCCCCTCAAATAAAATTATTTGTCACTGCTACACAAGCGTTTTGCCGCTATCGGAAAATGTATGGCTTTTAAGATGTCATTACTCATTAGTGAATGCGCGTATACATGAAACTGTTTTTACTGTTTCAATATTAGTTTGTAAATCTCTGAATGGTAAAACTTGCCAATACTCCAATAATACGTTTCAAAAAAGACGAAAAAGCTTTAGTTTTGCAGAGTTAAATTCTCAAACGTGTAAGGCACTAATAAGAAGAAAGTATGACGAAATTATTTGAATAAACGACATCGCATAAAATCGCATATATGGGAGGCGAATATCCTAAAGGGGATATTCCTAGGAATATCGTCCTCCTTTTGAGAGGAGGGGGGGGCGAATCTGAGGCCTGGCGCCGCCACTGAAGATGCTAAACTACGAACACAGTTACACTTCAAACATAAAGATCTAAATGTTCGTATGCAGGGTTATTTCGCTTGTATCCAACATAGTAGCCAATTTTTTCTTTGATCAGATCCATATTGAGTAGCGTGTTGAATTTCATCAATTCATGCATTCGTTCAAACGTTTCAGGTTTGTACTGGAATTTGAAGGACGAATAGGGTTCTGCAGGGTCATCAAAAATATCAAAGTTGGCGAAGTCTTTTTCCGATTGTGTCTTACGAGGAACACCTAGAAAATAAAATGCACTACATGAAATTGAAACTTTGTTCCGCTTTGCTGGGACTAAATTTTGCTGGGAAGATAACATGTGGAATAATTCTGATGTCATGATGCAGAAAGATTGCATCATGACACGTTTCTAACGAGAGCAATTTGTGAAACTTTCAAAACACAAGTGAAATTAAACCTTAATTTTACGAGGAGCTATGCGAGGGAAAAATTTATTCCTAAGTAAATTGTGAACTTGTCAAGTTCTTGAACCTCGTATGTCTCTGTGACTTCGCCGATGTTCCTTAATGCTGCCCATTTCTTAAATAATTTGTACTTTTTCTAGTATATTTAAAACAAGAAACTTCCCGCGCTTGCGTCTCAGCCAATGAATTAAAAAAAATGCCCTCATCATTAGCCAATCATATTTGAGTAATTTTGCCCGGTATAATTTTGCTCCGGTGTTATAGTGTCAGCGTAGTCTTAGTCTATACCGAAAATTTCACGTTAGGTTGCGAGCTACAACGTTTTCAATATTCAGTTCTTTTGCATGCATAATTTGACTGGAATTTGCAGCAGCAGTGAACACCACGAGATATAGAGTAGATTACAGCAGAATAGAAATAAGATAAGATAGCATATGGTCTCACTAACCTGGCTTAAGATATTCTCTGAAAGTTTTGTTTACAATTGGGAAATGTAAAATCATCGGACACGTTGCGTCATCTTTGTTCTCAAATACATAACATTCACGAATGTTGGGATCTTCAGTTACTGGGTTCCCTTTGATTTGTGGGAATGGATGACCGTGATCCTTTGCCCACTGCTCAGCTTTCAAAAGTTCCTACGAACAATAAAGTAATTATGTTAGGTTCTGGTCAAGCGAGAGTTGGCGAGACCATTGATGAGAGTTTCAACTCTCGCTCGGGTTGGGGGCCAACTCTCATCAACTCTCATGCAGGCTGCTCCATTTACTGTTCGGAGTACTTCAGATATTCGGAACACTAATAGATTCGACCCGAAAACGGTCATATGACTGTTCTGACTGCCCCTGTACTTTTGAGTAGAGGCAGACAGAACAATCATGTGACCGTGTTCGGTTCGATTCTATCAGTGTTCCGAAAATCCGGAGTACTCACTCTGAACAATAAATGCATGAAGCAGCCGGATGCATTCTCATCAACTCTCATCAACTCTCATCAACTCTCATCAACTCTCATCAACTCTCATCAACTCTCATCAACTCTCGTCAACTCTCGTCAACTCTCAACATCTCTCATCAACTCTCATCAACTCTCGTCAACTCTCGTCAACTCCCATTAACTCCCATCAACTCCCATCAACTGTCATCAACTGTCATCAACTCTCACCAACTCTCATCAACTCTCATCAACTTTTAACTGGTTCAAATTTTGATGAGAGTTTTCGCTACGCACGTGGCAATATCCAGCCAAGTCTTATCAACTCTCGCGCGCAACCCCCGTTCTCGTTAGACCAGGGCGCGAAAAAGTTAAGAAAATTCGCATGCAACTCTCACTGCTCAACTCTCAGCCTTGCTTAACCATCCTCGGTCAAACACGAACAAGTGTTGCACGAGAGTTGACTAGATAATATCTAACGTATAGTGATCAAACGAATAAAACTTCCCCAAGCTTTCATTAAAATTTGAACCAGCTCAAAGTTGAAGAAAATCTCGTCAATTCTTATTCTCGTTTGACCGGAGAATAAGATTTAATCTCGTCAATTCTTATTCTCACTTTAAAAGGCAATTCGTTATCGCCACCATCTCTCTGACTGAAATCAAACGACAGAATGAGTTCAACTTTTCTTTCAGGTCTCAATACGGCAGGGAATGGAGAGTTGAACGAAATACCGCTGTCCACAACACATATCGTCTTGTCTTTGCCAGTAGCGTGGTCGTGTTCGTCGTCTGAAGAAAAAAAATTGAATTTCCGAGTGCCTTAATTCCACCATTAAGCTCCCCTCTCATATATGGCCGGTGCTCTAATACGTGGCCCCCTTCTCCAATAACGTTCTTCTTATAATGTGCAGGGACAAATTTGGTTAACCAAATAGACCTTTCCCCTTTTGAGTGAAATTGTGATTCAGACAAGTCTGTCACAGCTTGAACGAGCATCACAAAACTAGTAATATTCCGAAGTTTCGTTGCGAAATGTTGTAAAATGCGGATAATATAGCCTTGCGAAGTTTGCAATTTTCAGTCATTTTAGATTACAAACGGGAAATTGACAATTTCCTCCCACAGGAAATGCTGACAGGGTGGGTTGGGATTATCCCCCTAACTGACCCTTCCACCGTAGCTGTGCCCCTGATCAGACATGAGTCATAAGGCGTCATAAAGTGGCTGCATGCCATAGGCGCCCTCAGTAGGCCTTCGACTCGATCAGGTAAGCTTCATCCTTCGTAATTCAGCTTAGCTCTCAGCTGCAAGTATAAGGATAATCAGCACACCCCACTTACTTACCAAAAGTTCGTCGGCTATTCAGTGGTTAAAATTAGATACTGGTGAAATATTTCTACCTTTTTTGCACTTAAACTTCAGTCCACGACAAAAATTGAAGCATTCAGCAGCTTTTCCTTTTCGAGATGAAAATATATTCTTTGGGTTCAACATTTGAGTCACCCAGTTTTCAGCTGTAAAAACAAGTTTGCATAAATATATGGTGTTTAGAAAAATTGCACGCATTATTATGACTACAATTATATATCCGTGAGAAGTTAGTATCATGTTCTCCCACCTTGCAACAATTTAATTCTAACTAGTTTAATTAAACCTAAACCTAACTTTAATCCTTCAAAACTTAGAAATTGCCCATGCAAAATTCCTACTGTGATCACAGAAACTTTGATAGTGTAAGCCAGACCTTAACTAAGTCTAATCTTTCATATCCTAACGTTACTTTAGTTAAAGTGCTTATGACACAAAATTTCACCCCAAAGGTTTATGGTTGCATTGTAAAAATCACTTAAAATGACTTAATAATTTCTTTTATAGAATTTTGGTAACTTGCTCCCTTTTCAAGATATTCAACTTTGTTTCATATGCAAATATCACCGGTCATGTGACATCATTCACATAATGAGTTTTCAGAAAAGTATGGTTTTCTTGACGAATACGTATTTAAAAACTTAAACTCTTGTATATGTATTAATTTCATAACTGGTAATTAACCCTCTGTATTTGTTTGTAAAAATATTTTATTAAGGCAAAATATTGCGTTTTTCAAAATGTCATTATGCGATGTGATGTCACACCGGTGATACTTGCATATGAAACAAAGTTCAATATCTTGCAAAGGAAGCAAGTTACCAAAATTCTATAAAAGAAATTATTAAGTCATTTTAAGTGATATTTACAATGCAATCATAAATATTTGGGGTGAAATTTCGTGTCATAGGCACTTTAACGTACAGTCAACTTCATCCTCAGGCGTCTCTTCATCCTCACTGTCATGTTCTTCAGTCTTGCATTTCTCTGCGTCCTTAAGCATGCCAATCTCTGAAAATAATATGTAGCATATAGGAATTCTATAGATTTCTATGGCATCTTCCTATATGGTGCAAAAATAAATTGATCTAAAATTACAGTGCGTACCTTTACCTACCTATTTCCTTTTGTCTTTGTCCCTCAGTTTTCTTTTCACTTGAGTTCAAGGTATTCAAAATAATACTGAAAGCACTTCCCCATATGCCTAGCAAATCCAACAATATCCATATCAGAAAACCAACCCTCTCAAGAAAGCTTGTAATTACGATAACACAGGGGTGCAGGTTTTCCATGGGGTGGTACATGGGGGAGCCTTACTGCCCACTCTCCTCTGCAATCTGCAACGCTACTATGGCCCAACATTGCCATTATTTGAGACGGCCGAATCTGCCTGTTCGCTGTTTAAACATTAAATTTTACATAATATACTTAAAATATAGTTTTAATGAAAGATTTTTTCAGAATTTTTTATATCAATTCTAGTAGACGTTATTGTAAATTAATACCTTTATTTTCATTAACTTGTAAACTGTACATGTAATTTAGTCTTTCTGACTGCAAGATTATGTTCCATAAACTATTTATCTATCTATCTATTTATTTATCTATCTATCTATCTATATCTTATATACGGTAATTTAGTTTGGGGTAACGCTTACAAATCCCACTTTCAAAAATTAGTAAATATTCAGAAAAAGATAGTAAGATTAATGACCTTCAAATCATATATTTTGACCATACTGAACCAATTTTTAATGACCTTAAAATACTAAACTTGTGTAAATTGAATGATTTTTTAACAAGTTTATTTATATTCCGATATTTCATCTACAAAATCTTCCGGAGGTTTTTAATAAATATTTTTTAACTAACGAAGAAATCCATAATTGTAACACAAGAAACGCATCATTGCCACACAAAAGTTGTATTAGAACAAATTATAAAAAACACACGCTCGCTATATAATAACGGCATGGGCGTACCGGAAGGAAACAATTAGGGGGGCGGAAAGAAATTTGCCCGACTTTTCGGGATTGTGCCCGACTAGTACCGGAGCGACCCCCCCCCCGTCGCCAAAAAAATTTCGGCCAGTGTACCATTTTAGGGGTCAAAAAATTTTTCCGGACATACCAAAATTTTTCGTAACATCACAAATTTTCAAAACAACACACAATTCACCACAAAATTTACTGAATTTCCGACTAAATTGACAGAATTTGTCCCATTTGGTCGAATATTGCCCGACTGCCCCAGCCCCCCCCGGTACGCCTATGAATAACGGCATCGATGTGTGGAATAATTTTCCGACGAAATATTTAAATATTTAAATCAACAATAAAAATATATTTTCTTCTGTCAAATTAAAATAAGTACAATTCTTAGCACAAAGTGAAAAGTCAAATGGTTGTTATAGTCTATTATATCTTTACTCACTTTCCTTATTGTAAATATATCACCGTCATCTCTTTGAAGGCAATTGGACTGGTATTAACTTTTAATATTATATATTATTTAAATCGTAGCTAACTATAGGGACCTTAAATAAAAGCCTTATGGTTTCTGGAAGGTTTCTCGCCCTACTATTGTAAATATTTTCTATTTAAAATTGTTAATTTTATGAACTGATTTGGCGAATAGTAAATAAATAAAAATAAATATCTATCTATCTCTTTATTTATCTGTTCTGTTACGTTTCGCATCATCTTTTTTTTATAAAGCTATTTGGGCTTTCTATCATGTATATGCGTGACTGGACAGTTGCTGTAGCACAGTACAGTAAATTGCTTGTTAAAGTATACAGTAGTATATATTAAAATATGGCTGTATAACAACCTCGACATATTCGCATATTTAATCATGATATTTAACTAAAGCATTCTGAGTATTTTCTCGTCTCACAAATCAATTAAATCGTTTCAGGAAATTGACAAGCGCTGGAAGTTCCGCTAATCGCTATTCGAAAAGCAGAAAATGTATATGGTCAAAGCAGGTTTCTTAAAGGCGGATTTCCAGTCCTCGCACAAAGCTCCTCGCAACTGGCTGCGAGTACTCGCACCAATGTCATTCCGTTTCCACCACACGCCAATCTCGTAATCATGGCATGCCCGTTCGCAGGCTAGGTAGTGACGGGAAGAGTTCATTTTGTACGTTGTTATTGCGAAGTCGACGAAAAAGACGTACCAAATACTTAAAAACGGTTTTGGGTAAGACCAATATTCCAAACGAGAGCACAATTAAGTGAATTTTTTACACTATTTAAAGAATTAGAGGAGGAAGACCACACAGGCTACATCAATTATTTCAGGATGTTACCAAACCAATTTGATTACCTACACAATTTGGTAAAGCCACTAATTCATAAGTCGAATACTGAAAACTACTAAAATTTCTATACTTTCATCACTCTATCTAGCCGCCATTTTGAAAATAAATTATCATGTGATTGTAAGCTGTTTTATGATTGGTTTATTATTGCGACCTCTCGCAGCGAGTAAAAAATAGTTCAAAATTTTGAACTATTTCCTGCGAGCGGCAAAACACTCGCAGAACGTCTGCGAGTTCTCGGAGCGAGCTGCGAGGAGCTTCGTGCGAGAACTGGAAAACCGCTTAAGCCCAGGGCAAACTAGGAAACATTGTTGCGGAAACATTGTTTCCTGCCAATGTTTCGCCATGTTTCCCAGAGTGGGCAAACACTTGGAAACATTAGTTCTATTAGTGAGAAACATAGGGAAACATCAAATGTTTCTGAATTCGCTAGGAAACATTTTTGCTTCTCGGGAAGTAAATTTTGTTTCCGCAACAATGCATGTTAAATTTCCACGGGTGGGCAAACATTGGGCAATCACAAATGTTTCCACATCAATGTTTCCTAGTTTGCCCAGGGTTTTAGGGTGGTCAACTCACCTTGTAAATAATGCAATGGACATTCTTGATATTGTTTCACCAATTGTCCTTTATAATATTTCCCGCCAAAATCTGTGATCTTACCAAACACGCCATATTTAGCAGTACCAAACTCATACGGTGTGAATTCTACCCATTCTAAAGAAAGCATAGATAAAAATATCTATAAATTCTAGCTTAAATGGGTTATATGCATGTAATACATTTTGTACGAACTTACACATACCGCTAAATTCTTTGGCAGGGATATCTAAACGGACTCGAATAGCAGTGGTAATTGGCAGTGGTATTTCGCCGTGTCGTATTTTATCATATTGAGAGCTCAATCTGCATTCTTGATTCTAGAAAAACAAAACATAATGATCGTTGATTGCGCCTACTGTTGGTACAAAAGACAGATTGAGAAAGAGTCCATTGTATAGGGTTCTGGATACCGCGATGTTATCTTATCCCATTGGTATGACGCTCTAAGGCACTTTACCACGAACAACAATCGACGAAGAATTCCCCAAGGCTGCATTTCAACAAAATCATATACACTAAGTTCTTTGTATGTTTGTATGGCGATAAAACATATAATAGTTTTGTTTGTGGAAACACCACGTAAATTTATTACTGCAAAGCTTTCGATCCGTATAAGCCCGGATCTTCATCAGTGCTAATAATATGTGTTCAACCTGTTTAACTTTGTACCAAATCTAATGTAGATTACCTATTAAACTCATTGTTATTTGCATTATGTTTTGGACATGAAAAGTTCAATGTTGGACAAATAAGAGAGACAAAGCTCTCTGCTTCTGTTGGGTTTTGGTCTTAAGTTTTTTGTGAACAGCCCCAGTTTTTTGGGAGAAAAATAAAGATCTCACGTTTAAAGGACTTCCAAGGTTGGCAGATTTAACCAGTTCCAAAAAAATAAGTAACTTTTACAGCATTGTTTAATTCATAATTTATTCATTAACTTACTCGTAGCAATGCATCTCCAATTGCCATCCCGAAGAAGTCAGTGAACCTGACAGGCTGGCCACCTTTTGCCTTCTCGTCCATACGACGTTTAAAGTCGTAATGAAAATGACTGAACAAGCTAGTATCAAATCTCTTCTTGAGATCATTCGCCATTTCTTCACATGTAATGGAATCTGGCCAACCTTCACGCATGTACAGCGAGGATATATACCTGGGGAAATACACACAGTTCACGTAATTCATTGACGAGCCAAGGGGTTAAAAAATGTTTCAGAAATACCGTACTTCACGTATCAGGTCATACGTTCTACAACCATGTTGACGTACAGGGGGTGGCCATTAAAAAGTCCCCCCCCCAATGGTATATCCTGTTCTTTGTCACCATTTTGAACTTACTTGTTTAGTTTTGTATATGTGTGAATAAAAATTGTGATTTCAAGTCAAGGGTTAGAAAAATAGATACGTTTAGAGAACTTTTACTCAAAATGTTCTTTTACTGTCGATGCAATGGAAGTGTTGATAAAATATTGCACCAAGTCCTTTCCTCAAGTTGATCAATTCATTTGATAGAAAATTGATCAACTTCCTGTTACTTTTAGATGAGCCAATTAGATTTCGTTTCAGAACCGATTGACCAATAGGAAACGCACAGAAAGTAAAAAGAAATTTGAATTCGTATGAATTGATCAACTTGAGGAAATGAATTCATGCAATATTTTATCAACACTTCCATTGCATCGACAGTAACTTATGGTGACAAAGAACTGGATATACCCGTTCTTTGTCCACCCTTGTACGTTTCATCTGTTTTGCAGTACAACTTGCCTAAAGGAAAATGGCAATATATTTTTTATTTTCTTCGTAGTTGAAAGAGCTTTTAAGACTGTATATAATACTCTCTTACTGTTTCTTCATTCTTGCTTACTTCCGCAAATATTTTGATCGAAAGGAATGAAATGTCCGCCATCTTCAATTTTTGTAGATATGCATGTGACGTCACGGCAGGGGTGACGCACTATTTTTATCTAGACAACCACTAATCATTTTGCCGTCAAAACTATACTCGCGGTCTGCCTTTCGAAATATCAAGATCACTCAAAACCTTTAAAACATCTACCAATCAATATTTGATCAGCAACGAATACTTTTATATGGTTAATCCTTGTTGTGACGTCACCAAAACGACCGTTAATGAGATCAAAAATTTATCCAAGATGGCGGACATCTCATTACTTCAAGTGAAAATATTTCAAGAACAGGCCAGAAATGAAAAATCGGTAAGAGAAGTTAATATGTGGTTTCAAAAGTTCTTTGAAATGAGAAAATAAAAAATTATATTGCCATTTCCCTTTAACTAATTTTCCCCATATTCTCTCCACGTTTTCATAGCTTGTCAACAAGATGCGTTCGCACTTCCTGTTCCCAGTTGTTGACAAGGATGGAATGGATGGAACAAGTTGTTATTCTTATAACAAGGTTGACGAGGCCAACAGACTCGCAACAAGTTGTTCCAACAAGTCTGCACGTAACAAATTTTTAACAAGTTGATGACAACCAGCTCGTATCAACAAGTTACGAACAGACTGTATTAGTCTTGTTGGAAAAACTTGAAGCAAGTCTGTTACCGTCATCAACATTGTAACAAGGTGATAACAACTTGTTCCAGACTTCTCAAACAACTGGGAACAAGCAGTGCGAACATATCTTGATATCGCCTTGACAACAACCTTGTTATAACTTGTTTGCAGATCTGCAAGGCCAAAAAAAAATATGTGTGTTTCCGGTTTCTTCTTATAAAAACTTAGGTAGGGTAGGTCGGTTTTAACTTTTTTTTTAAACTTTTTTTTTAATTTTCCTAACAAGCGGACGCCATTTTGTTTAGTCAGTGCTTCCACATCCAAAGATAAATTTCCCTAATATTGCCTCAAATTTCAATTTTCCACAAACTTTTTCCTCTAAGTGGAAACACTTACAAGCATGATCCAATAAAAAAGTTTAGGGTCTGGATTTTGACGTCCAAAAGCTAGGTAGGGTCGGAAAACCGGAAACCCACATTTTTTTTTGGCCTAACAAATTGCACATTTTATGTGTGTACTGCAAACAAGAAATTCCTGTCAAGCATTCAAAATGCTGTAATTTGCGAGCTCCAAGTCCACTTTCATTCAAGCAATCGACTGAGGTTATTACTCCAGTTATACGATGCAGTTCACACGGTACATACCATGAAGATCCTGACAGTCCAGTTACATATGTAGCGCAGTCCAAGATCCCGGATTCTTGAAGAGCAACCATTACTCCTGATAATCCACAAGCTGCCCTATATCCTCCTCCCGATCCCATGATAGCAATCACCGGTACCTATAAATATTATACGGTTAACAGTCGTAAAATAAACAAACTTTCTTCATAGTTGGATAGCTCTTCAGTCATTTCAATTGTTCTTCCTGGTAATAACGAAAGAGAATGCCAACTAAACCTAAATCAAACCATACACCTTACATTTGCAACACCTTAGTATATATATATATATATATATATATATATATATATATATATGTATATATGTATATATGTATATATGTATATATATATAT